AAATAATGTATTATTATTATTATTATTATTATTATTATTTTTTTTTTTTTATTATCACACTGGCCGATTCCCACCAAGGCAGGGTGGCCCGAAAAAGAAAAACTTTCACCATCATTCACTCCATCACTGTCTTGCCAGAAGGGTGCTTTACACTACAGTTTTTAAACTCCAACATTAACACACCTCCTTCAGAGTGCAGGCACTGTACTTCCCATCTATGTTTACTTTTGAACATTGGCAAAAATTAAACATTTCCCCTACTCTTGAGCTCCATTTCCAGGTTCTTTTTATAGTAAAACCAATCATAATCACCTCTATTTCAATAATATGTTTTCCATTCTATCAAATGGGACCAAGAAAATGAGAATACAACCATAAATACTATACGAAAATAGACCACAAAGTTGGCATTTTAATTAAAAAAAATGGTCTTTTTTTTTTTTTTCTCATTATGCACTGCATGCTCTAGGATTTTTTTTTATATGGTGCACACTGACCACACAGACCCATTCTCTCACATGTGGGCCTACTAGCTTTCTCCTGCTTGATTTGAAGCCACTAGAATTTGAGTATATATACGTCACACATGGTACCTCATAAGACGTATATATACGACCGAAACAGTTAAAAGGTTAAAGCAGTGACTTTGCAGTGTTTTTTCCTATGTTTTTTTTATAGTTGTATTTGCAATTTCTTGGTTTCATTTGATAGAATGGAAGATATATTACAGAAACAGAGACGATTTTGTTTGGTTTTAGTTCTGGAAATGGGTTGAAACTGAGCTCAAAGTAGCAGAAATGTTAAATTTTTGCCAATGTTCAAGAGTAAACAAATGACCTCACAGGTCTAATACACACCAGTGGTGGGTCTAATATACATTCACAAATGTGGTGATATTCTTTATACAATTATTACAATATTGCACAACAGAAATTTTTCTATTGTTTGGTTTGAATAAAAATTCATTATGTGAATAAAAAATCAAAATGGAATTCATTTGTAAAGCCTGAAAACATACTTAATGAACAGAGGAAATGTTAGTTTAGTGCAAGGAATGCCTATATTGTTTATTCTGATCTTTATTTTGAAATTGGAATATTTTGAACTTTGTGTTAAATTGGCCAAATTACCAATTTCCGATCACTTTATTTTGTAGTTGAAACAGTTGACTTGGCGATTTCTTGTGCTCAGTCGATAGAATAGAAGTAATACTAGCGAAATACTAGCTAAGAATTTGGTTGACTGGAATAATGTAATTGGCCTAAAATGGAAGTCAAAGTAGGCAAAATCGCCAATGCGTAAATATCGCTGACACATCAAAATTCGCGAGAGCATAATTTCATGAGTTTTCCATCAAATTTCATACTTTTTATTTTATTACCTTCAGATAAAGATTTTCTGCCATTTCATGAGAAAATTTTTTTTTTTTTTTAAATTTTTGGACCCTGGTGCACACATTGAAATTTGACCTCTGGACCCTGAAAGGGTTAAGGGGGAAGGTCGTATCCTGAAATTTCGTTCATATCCAGATACAAAGAATCGACTGAACGACAGTTCGTATCCTGAAAAGTTCACATGGTGAGGCGTTTGTAAGCTGAGGTTGCACTGGATAGTGCATCTTGTGTAGATCTGTGTTGTCTGATTACTGATTGTCTGTTAATGAGGATGATATTTGTTAATTGCTGTTGTTATAGGCATTGCTTAACCCTTTGACTGTCGCAAGCCCCTTTCTGAAACTGTCATTCTATGTTACAAAATTTTTGGAAAAAAAAAAAATTCTTATGAAATGATAGAGAATCTTTTCCCGATGGTAATGGCACCAAAAGTATGAAATTTGGTCGAAAACTCATGGAATTATGCTCCCACGAAGTTAGTCTCGGCAACACATACACATCAGTGATTTCACCGACTTTGAGCCCTGTTTTTGGCCAATTCCGTTGTTCCAGTTGACCAAACTCATAGCTGTTTCTTTAGAACTCCATTTTTTCTATCAGTTGAGTACAAGAAATCGCCCATTTACCGATTTGAATTACCCAGTAAAGTGGTCAGAAATTGGCAATTTGGTCAATTTTATGCAAATTAAAAAAGATGCCAATTTCAAAATAGGGTCCAGAATAAACAATGTAGACATTCTTGGCACTAAAATAACATATCCTCTGTTCATTAGTCACGTCTCTAGGCCCCTCTTATATTACTATTGCTTTCTATTTTGATTTTTTATACAAAAAATACAAAATTTACTATTATGCAGACTAATGCATTATTGTAAAAATGGTATAAATAATATCAGTGCACTAGTGAAAGAATATTAGACTCCCCAGTTGACATGTATTGGTCGTTTGGTGTGTTTTGCTTACTCCTGAACATTGGTAAAAATCGAGCATTTCTGCTACTTTGAGCTCAATTTCAAGGTCATTTTCATTGTGAAACTAATCAAAATCATCTCTATTTCTGTAATATATTTTCCATTTTATCACGCGAGACCATGAAAATGAGAATACAACGATAAATACTATACGAAAATACACCTCAAAGTCGGTGTTTTAATCCAAAAAAAAACGTTTTTTTTTTTTTTTTATTATGTACTGTGTGCTGCAGGATTTTCTTTGTGGTGCACAGTGACCACACAGACCCATTCTCTCACATGAGGGCCTACCAGCTTTTTCCTGCTTGATTTGAAGCCGCTAGAATTTACGTGTATTAATTCGTCCGAAACAGTGGCGCATAAGACCAAAACAGTCAAAGGGTTAATAAGTCTTTCATAAGTTTTCCCTAGCGTTTCAAGCAAGTTAATGGGTCTGTATGATCCTTGTTTAGTTTTGAAATGAGGATTACTGTTGTTGATTTGAAAAGTGAAATAACCCAAGGTTAAGGATGCATTTAGAAAATTAGTATGAGTGGTGGTGGTGGAGTTAGGAAGATGCTTTAGGATTATGGTTTAGCTCGCAGACTCTTGGAACGTTGGAGGGAGTCTGTGGAAAATATTTTCTTAGGTCACAAATGTTTGTTGTTGTATGTAAGGTGAGTGCATTTTGAAGTTGGTATGCTCTTTATTTTTTTGATAAATTTCCAAAATTTTTGTGGTGTAATTTTTGTATTCTGCCTTTTTAACAAGAGTTATCCACTGTTTATTATGGTTCTATTGAAAATTATTTATGATGTGGCATCTGAGGGCAGTGAGATTCCATAAAAATATAGGTATATCTATGCCTAATTACAATAAAGCAGTTATAATATCATGTAAGTTGATGTTTGGTTTTGACCAAGGGGATGAATGAATAATGCTTTTTTGTGAATTTTTTTGAGGGGATAGTGTTGAGTGTGGGTAGTAAGATGGTGCTCTGGATTGCTGTATGTTGAGTATCTGTCTCACAAGTTTGTTAGTTGTAATCAAGGTTTGTGGTGTGCATTTTGTGCTTGATGGCTTCCCAGTCTTCTTTGCCATATTCAGAGGTGGGTGTAATGGGAATAAGGATGGGGTTTAGAGATGCATAGTGTAATGAAGGGGCGAGGTCAGTGCACCGTGTGGTTTGGCACTCTTAGTGTGTTAATGTCATGAGTGTTATTGGCACAGTAGGGTGGCAAGTCTTCTTAACCCTGGAACACTACTCTGTGGAATGCAGCATCACTGTGAATAGCAATCCCACATGTGAGTTAGTGTTAATTTGGAGTGGTGGAAAAGGCACCTTTTTGGAATGACAGCAGACCAGAGAATTGAACCATGTAATGTGATTGAATCATGTCATATGGATTTTTGAATCCCTGTATAGTATAAAAAAAATCCATTACCTCAATTCTTTTTAACCCTTTGACTGTTTTGGCCGTATATATACGTCTTAAGAGGTACCGTTTGACGTATATATACTCATAAATTCTAGCAGCTTCAAATCAAGCAGGAGAAAGCTGGTAGGCCCACATGTGAGAGAATAGGTCTGTGTGGTTCAGTGTGCACTATATAAAAAAAATCCTGGAGCATGCAGTGCATAATGAGAAAAAAAAACTGACCTTTTTTTTTTTTTTTTTTTTATTAAAATGCTGACTTTGTGGTCTATTTTCATAGAGTATTTATGGTTCTGTTCTCGTTTGATAGAATGGAGAACATATTATAGACGTAGAGGTCATTTTGATTGGTTTTACTATAAAAAGAACCTGGAAATGGAGCTCAAAGTAGGGAAGATGTTTGATTTTTGCCAATGTTCAAAAGTAAACAAATGATGTCATTGTCCAATAAATATCCAACTAGCCATTCTGATATGCAGTCATGAATGGGTTGACATTATTTGTACAATTATTACAATATTGCAGTAGTCTGCATAACAGTAAATCTTCTATTTTTTGTTTGAATAAAAATTCAAAGTAGAAAGCAAGAGTAATATCAGAGGGGCCTGGAGACATGACTGATGAACAAAGAAAATCTTACTTTAGAGCCAGGAATGACTGCATTGTTCATTCTGAACCTTATTTTGAAATTGTCATATTTTTTAATTTTTGTGAAATTGGCCAAATTGCAAATTTCTGACCATGTTATTGGGTAGTTGAAATCGGTAAATGGGCAGTTTCTTGTACTCAATCAATAAAAAAACAGAATTCTAAAGAAATAGCTATGAGTTTGGTCAACTGGAACAATGGAATTAGCCAAAAATAGGGCTCAAAGTGGGTGAAATCGCCGATTTGTAAATATTGCCGAGGTCGCTAGCTTTGCGAGAGCATAATTCCGTCAGTTTTCCATCAAATTTTGATTTTTTGGTGTCATTACAATCGGGAAAAGATTCTCTATCATTTCATAAGAATTTTTTTTTTTTTTTTTTTTTTTTTTCTTTTTTTTTTTAATTTTGCGACACCAGGAGACACCTCAGGATTGGGGGTTGCGACAGTCAAGGGGTTAACGGGGTTCTGTGTAGTTAGTGATGAACGACTTTAGTTGCAATATGGATGTCAAGCATTATGAAGGAAAGGCAGTATAAATCAGTTTTAAAAGTAATTCTGTCTTGATATTCCAGACTATATCCAAAGATGAAATCTTTGAGACACGTCTACGGGTTGGTGTATCTGCAGCAGATGCTAGCCAAACCTCAACACCCTCAGCTTCACCGGCATCACCAGTCTCGCCAGAGCTCTTGTCGAAGGTCAGTTATGAGATTAAATTATTTGGACGTGCTTTTTATTCTATCTGTGAGGGTTTTCATGGTTGAAACCATGATTTAAGGGTAAGTACCTTAGTCCAGTGATTTTTTCAAAGGTCCTTTCCCTATTCTATGTGAACCCAAGGTTCACATTAATCATCCTCTACAAATGGTCCCAGTCGACCGAAATGTCGTCATTAGCTGCTCCTCCTCATAGGTGTGGTAGCCTTAGACCTGCAAAAGGCCTTAGATACTGCCAATCATAATATATTATGTAAGAAACTTCAAGCTATCGGTATAGGTTCTGTAGACTGGTTTAAGTCCTACCTTAGCAACAGGAGACAAAGTGTCAAAATCAACAAAACGGAATCAGAACCCCTGCTGATAGCATGTGGAGTTCCCCAAGGTAGTATTTTGGGTCCCTTATTATTCTTATGTTATGTCAATGACATACCTATCAGTGTCAAGTGCAAACTCCTACTGTATGCAGATGACAGTGCTCTGTTAGTGTCAGGTAAAAACCCACAAGATATAGCTAATGTTTTAACACTGGAACTGGAGTCCTGCAGCAAATGGTTAGTAGAAAACAAACTATCATTACACCTCGGGAAAACTGAAGCCATTCTCTTTGGCACGAAACATAAACTGAGAAGGGTAAATAATTTTAATGCCCAGTGTAATGGGGAGCCCATCACTTTGGTTTCATCAGTAAAATATCTGGGAATCCCCTTTGACCCATGCATGTCAGGAGAATTGATAGGGAACAGTGTAGTAAAGAAAGCGAATGCCAGACTGAAGTTCCTCTATAGACAAGCACAGTGTCTACTTACTGAGGCTCGCAGGACCCTATGTCTAGCCCTTATACAATGCCATATGGATTACACTTGCTCTTCATGGTACTCTACCTTGACAAAAAAAACTGAAAGATAGACTGCAAATCACCCAGAACAAAATCATAAGATTCATCCTGGGGCTGGGACCAAGAGAGCATGTAGGCCAGAATGAATTACAGCAGTTGGATATGCTGAATGTTGAAGACAGAGTAAAACAACTGAAGCTAAATCATGTTTATAAAATTGCTCACAAACAGTGTCCAGAAAATCTTGCTGTCAATTTTGTCAAGGTTGGGAACCAAAGCAATCATAGTACTAGGGGGGGAGAGCACAACTTTGTAGTATCCACAGTCATTGGCCAGGCTTCAAACACCTTTTATTGTACAGCAACAAAGGAATGAAACAGACTACCCGCACATGTCAAAGCCAGTCATAGCATGAACCAGTTCAAGAAGAGTGTCAAAAGGTGTCTGATGAATGTAGCTACAGAAAGGGAGGGGAATGATTTTCTATTTTTTAGCTAACATACGTGTAAATTTTACCTTATTCCTAGTAATGACCCTCGTATTGTAGACAGTCTTAATGACCCTTGTGTAGTAGATAGTCTTTTTAGTATGATAATAAGATGTTATCTTCAGTATAGTATAATAAGAAAATATTATAACCTCTGTCTGACTTTTTTGTGTTATCCCAGGTTCTCTACACATATGCTGCTATGTATGATAATTCTATGTAACTGTATTTGTGTATACCTGAATAAACTTGCTTACTTTGTGTGGGTTATTTATGTATACAGAGCAGGAGTTGCGCAAATTAACATTAAGATCGACAACACTCTAATTGCCAGACATAATGAGGGCAAATTCCTAGGCCTATACCTCAACAACAACCTGAATTTCAGCACCCATATCCAACACATAACCAAAAAAGTATCCAAAATGGTTGGGATCCTCTCCAAGATACAATACTACGTGCCGCATAATGCCCTTCTCACACTATGCCACTCATTTATTTATCCATACCTCACCTATGCTATTTGTGCTTGGGGATCAACTGCAGCAACATATCTAAAGCCAATAATAACCCAACATAAAGCTGCAGTAAGAATAATCACTAAATCCCATCCCTGGCAACACCCCCCCCCCCCACACGCTCTTCATAGATCTAAACTTACTCCCTGTTCAGTACATCCACACTTACTACTGTGCAATCTACATCTACAGGACCTTAAATTCCAATATTAACCTTGACCTAAAATGCTTTCTTGATAGTTGTGACAGAACCCACAGGCATAACACCAGACACAAACATCTCTGACATTCCCCGTGTCCGACTAAACCTTTACAAAAATTCAATGTATGTCAAAGGCCCTAAAATCTGGAACACCCTACCTGAAAACTCTAGAACTGCAAACACATTCATCACCTTCAAAACTACCATTAGAAAACATCTTATCTCCCTGATACACCCCGTCAACTAATTACATGAATACCACCTGGTGGTTCACACTTACACTCACTCACCCATTTGACCATAAACAGAAATATCACTCTCAATCTTAAAATAATGAATCCTAACTAGTCATAAGTTGGCCTGTGATACTCCAATACTGAAACTATGTATTGTGCCAAAACAAAAGCATTCACATTGCTAAACTCACAAACTAGTATTTAGTCACTTAGCCATAATACCAACTTGCCTCATAATTTGTAATATTTTAAAGTTAAGAATTAATCTAAGTCTGCCCGAAATGCCTAGCCATGCTAGGTGTTCTAGTGGCCCCCTCTGTAATTAGTATTTTACTACATGTAAACCACACAATAACCAAATTCTGTAAACTCAGCATTGTAATCCTTATAGAGAATAAACTTTGAATTATAACTGGGTATGGGGGAGGGAGGATGAGTATAAATCATGAACAATACAAAATTATCTGCCTAACATTTTGTTTCAGATTTTATTTGATTTTTGTTTGATACCATTTCACTAATTTAGTTAGCACTGACATTCGTATGAAATAATGAGCAGAATAGAGATTTGGGCATAGAAAAACCATGTAGCCAAAATAACATTAGTTATTTAATATATTCATAGGTTGTCCATCAATAAAAACACTGGATAGTGGATTTTGAAAAGTTTGGGATTAATATTACAAGTAAAATAGGGAATTTAAAAGCAAATGCAAATAGAGTATGAGGAAAATAAGCAGAAACTGGGGGAATGTAAGAAGACATCAGATTGGTAGGAAGGAGAGCAAGATGATACATACTGTGTATTCAAATTTTGAAATGTATTACCAGCTGGTCCTATGAGAGAAGTGTTTAAAAGAGGAAAAGAAAGTTGCTTGAGTATTAGATTGTACAAAGATATGTTGTCACTGGATGCCAAAATGGAACTATTAGAATAATGTGGTACTAATATTTGAATGAACCTGAAGTTAGACTGTGATGTAAATATTATGCAAATTTTAAGCTTGTGTGGAATTATAGAAGGTATAATTCAAAGAGCAGAAGAGGGCTTGAAAGCTTGGTCATGGAGACAGTGGAACAAGATAGGTTGGTAAAGAGGGTGTTATCTAGTATGTGGAAAAAGATACTTTTATACAGTTCAGGACATTTATTAGGACTGAATAAGCCACATGTGGCAAAAAGTTTCCTCTAATAAATGTCCCTAACTGTTCTAAGTATTTTTTTTTACCACATCTTGTCAATATCACCATACCATTTTTCTGTAAATTTCAAGTGTGCAAGGAAGCCTGGCAAATGTCTGGAGTTCAGGGAGGATCTGAAGTAAGTGCTGATGTAGAGATTTTAACATTAGTCAAGTGGGTGCGAGTGTATGGGTAGAGAGGGGTTTATTGAATTTGACATACTTTTGATGTTAGCAAGGTAGCATCTACGAAGGGTAATTAAGGAAACCAGTTAGACCAGTGTTTCTTCATAGGGCTGCAACCTCCATGGGTGCCATAAGTGGGGAAAACCATTGACTGATGTTGTCTGGAAAATTGGCTTTGATGCATTGAACTAGACAAACTTTCTTCAACTGAGTGCAGTGTCTACACAGTTTGATAGAGGTTGCAATATGGTGGGTCAGTATTGAACTGCAGTATCTATACATTTCTGGTAATATAGGTACATTGGAACCCCGGTTTTTATCCTTAATCTGTTCCAGAAGGTCAGTCGAAATCCGAAACGGACAAAAATCAAAGTAATACAGTGGACCCCAGGTTAACGATATTTTTTCACTCCAGAAGTATGTTCAGGTGCCAGTACTGACTGAATTTGTTCCCATAAGGAATATTGTGAAATAGATTAGTCCATTTCAGACCCTCAAACATACACATACAAACGCACTTACATAAATACACTTACATAATTGGTCTCATTCGGAGGTGATCGTTATGCGGGGTCCACTGTATTTCCCGTAATAAATAATGTAATTCCAATTAACCCATAAACGGTCCAAGCAGATCTACGTTCATATGCCTAGTGCTCCAAAAGTAGATCTGCGTTTTTTTACATATTTTCAAATATAACAGAAAAAAAACGTAGATCAAAGTTTTTTTTACACGTTTTCAAATGTAAAAAAAAATTACTTTTTTTTACATACTTTAAAATGCTGAAAAAACGTATATATATATACGTTTGGACCATTTACAGGTTAATTCATTGCAGACACCCAAAAGTATTAACAAAAAAATTATTTTTATAGAGAATAACTACAGGTCTCCCTCAACATTCACGTTTTCAACTTTCACGGGCTTCACACATTCGCGAATTCCCAACCGCCAAATTCCCAGCCACCAAATTCCCAGCCCCCAATTCCACCAAATTCCACCCAATCCAGCCACCAAATTCCTAGCCACCAAATTCCCAGCCGCCAAATCATATTTAAGTTTCCCACCACCTGCGAGTCCCTACTACCCTCCCTCCGACCCCCGCAACTGGCAGCCAGCCCTCCCACCACCCAGTGTGGTGAGTGTTTTGTTTGTTCATTATTTGCTATTAAACTACAGTATAAATAATGTAAACCCATTCATGACTGCATATTGGAATGGCTATTCGGACAGGTATTAGACGGTGACATCATGTGTTTACTCTTGAACACTGCAAAGAATTAAACATTTCTGCTACAGCTAATAATAACAATAGTAATAATAATAATAATAAA